GATGGAAAACTGAAATGGTGAAACAGTTAAATGCTGTAACTCCACAATTAAGTACGACATAGTTGTCAGTCTTTGCACGCTTACGGCATGGAAAATGTATTTTGAGACAAATCTCAAAATTCAAGCGCTTGAATTGATATTTTTTCCAGTCAGGTCTCACCCTCCATCTTTTCTGCGTTTGTGCAGACTAGTTTATGCGGCGGAGGAGCACGCCTCGCTGCCGCAGAATGTGTGTGTGTGTGTGTGTGTGTGTGTGTGGCGGGGGTATTAGCGGGGGTCCCGGGGTGAGCGCTTAGAGCGTTTTCAACAAGCATAATCTCCTTTTCTAAAATGTCCTCAGGTCAGGGGCCAACGCTCTGGCGCTCTCTCTCTCTCTCCCCTCGCTCGCCCTCGCCGCATTCTACTCGTGTTCTGGCTGAACTATCCGAAGCCCTTCTTCGCAAATCCGCCCTCCTCCTCCTCCTCCTTCTCCGCAGCCGTCGCACTCTCGCTCTCCCTCGTTCCGCCTTCCCCCTTTTCTTTTCCCGCCTCCTCGCCTTCCTTCCTTCCTTCCTCTTCTTTCTGATGCGACGGCGTGACCGCAAAGGCGACGCGGGTCATTGTCGAGTCCAGGCCCTATCGCAGCGTTCACACGCGCGCGCGCGCGCACACACGCGGGTTCCCTGGCATCTCTGGCAGCGTCTGAATGATTGACAGCTGAAAAGAGGGAAGGAATTCCCTCGCAGCCTTTGGCCGCCTCTTGTCCTCGCCCTGCTCCGCCTCCTCCTCTTTTTTTCCCCTCTCATTTTTAACCTTCGTTGCGCCCACTTTGGCTTCGGACGTCAATCAGGCCGAGCAGCGGGTTCGAAACTCCGGTCACCTGCTGGGCCATTGTGGAAAGAACAAACGTGTTCACCTGAAGTTGACCGCCAAACTAAACAGAAAATTTAAAATAATTAAATGTTTTACATTGAACAATTGCATCCAGTATGTCAGCTAGCTTGATGCTAACACATCATGGGAAACATCATAGACGGGCTAACAACTAGCACCAATCTTGTGATGTCGTAACACTTTTGAGGTGTGAGACAGTAAACGATACTCAAAGACATATATTCTTTATCATCTGCAGAAAATAACTAATACCGTAAACCACCATGGCTGTCGCAATATTTTATTTTATTTTTGTAATACAATCGTTACTCTACATTCAATTGTTTGAATTTGCATGTATTGACAATTTCAGTCTCGTTCAAGCAAGTTTAAATCGCAGGTGACTTGTTGCTTTTTTTTTTTTTTCTCCGTCTTCTTCAATACGAACTCGGCGCATTTGAAATCTCCTCAGCGTGTTTGTGAAAGGCGAGCGGAGAGGAGTGTTTTCACTTTGAGTGCTTCTGAGTGCTTCTCAGTTGCCATACGGCGACTCCAAGTGTCACGCCAGCGCTTTTTCTTGACCTGACGTTGCTTTTTCGACTGGATGATGTGCGCGCGTTTTGTCGTGACTCGCTCCCAGTGGCGGCTTCAGTGCCCCTCTTTCTTCCCATAACACGACCCCCCCCCCACCCAACCCCCCCGCTGTCTCCCTGCTAAGCATCACCGTCATATGTCACATACACACACGCACGCAGATCTAAGGCAACATAATTAGCTGTGTTTTTTTGTCATGGCCTAATAAAAGAGTCATTTGTTGGACATTTCCACGGCGCTACAAAGGGGACATTTATAAGGCCCCGGCGCAGGTTCGCCGGCGGGCCAAGGCCAACAGAACACGGGGGTATTTTTAGCGCTGCTCGGACCCTGGGCGTGGGCGGCGCAGACGGACGGCAGAGACACGCGGGCGCTTTTCTGGGATGTTCTCCTTTGGCGACGAGCGCTCGGAGTCGCTTATGATTTGACCGTTTGGTGCCCGTGGTACGATTTGGCTTTTTTTGTGTCCCCTCACTTTTGTGTGTTTGTGCGCCTTTGTGTCCCCTCACTTTTGTGTGTTTGTGTGTGTGTGACAAATCCTGTATGCGGTTATGTTCTCTTGCAAGAGAAGAGTGGCGTCATTACGTCACAACTTTTCCATGCGAGCCGTGTGTGTTTTGCGTGTGCGCGTGTGTGTGTGTCTTTGTGTGTATTGCCAGATTTGGGACAGAGAGGCGGGAGTCGACTTCTCACCTTTTTAGCTAAATGTCATCCGCGCCACACCCCCGCCTACACACACACGCGCATTGTGTGCTATTTGTCACAAACAAGACATGAAAACATTTTGTATGATGCCAACATGTGTGTGGAAAAGTAAAAATGGAGAAAAAGAAACGGAAAATCACATGTATGTCATGTATTGCGCGTGCACACACACACAC